AAATTTAATTCAAATTTCATTTTTTTTTTTAAAGAAATGTAAAAAGTGTGCAAATCGCAAAGTCAAAAAATTGTGCTCCTAATATAAGATGCCTTGAGAAATCGATATTAAACGCAAAATATATCAGTATTGCAATTAAAAAATTTTATTTAATGTTTCTTAAATATAAACACAGCCAGGATACGCGAAAAAGTATGCGATACATTATAGACCCAGAACTCGTCTTCAGCTGAAATCAAGCATCGCAGAAATAGGCATTCGACGTTCATTCCGGTTGTCTTTTTTTTGTTATTGTACAATAACATTTATACTTTAGCAACGATTTTCACTATGACATGAGAGCATGAGTTATTTTATATTAGAAATAACTTGGGTATCTCCTATTACGATTTTCACGCCTTATGGTTTTGCGATTATCAAACCAAACTTCTGTAATTAAGCAATTCAATATCCCGTATTTTTCTATTATTATAGTACGACCTTACTCTACCACTACATGAAGAATTTATTGCCAAATATTTATTTTATTAAATAATAAACAATGTTTAAAGGCTCATCTCAATGAAATTTGAAGATATCCAAATTCTAAAATCTTTTTTTACGATAATTACAGGCATGAGCCCTAATAATGAATTTTCTACTTTTTTTCAAGAGCAATAACAGTTTTTCAAGAGCAATAAATTCATGGTAGAACCAATAGATAGCGTCTATTAGTTTAGGAAAAACGCCTTATCTCATATTAGCCTATCTCATAATAGGAGGATCTTTCCTCTTTTTTATTTATATAGAATTTAAATTTTTTATAAAATTTTAATAAAATGCATTATAGATTTGACAAGCGAGAAAATCAGTTTCTATTTATATTTTCAATTTATCTTTGCTGTAAAAAAAAGGAGCTTGATAATATGTTTATATGAAATATAAATTAATAAATAAAAAAATGTTAATCTTTAGAATAAAAATTGATTGAATCTTATATCAATAATAAATCTTAAAAATTAATCTTAAAAAAGAATTTAAAAACATAACTGGAATTTTATCGGCTATAATTCTTATTTTTCCAACATTCATTGTTTTATTTTAATATAATGAATATAATACTGTTATAACAAAAAAATAAGTAACTTGAAGCAATTTCTCTACAAAAATATAACAAAGGATGTAACAATGATTAAAATGATAACTTACTCTGAGAACATTGAGTCTGTCTTTTTTCGCGCTTATCAGCGCAAGCTTGTTCATAACTCTGTCCAATACGGCTAGAAGCTTATGATTTCTTTCGTCCCTCGTGCGTTGTTCCTCTAGATACTGTATATATCTCATGCGTAATCGATTTATACAGACATCATGTCTGTAATTAAAAAATCATTCATCGAATGACAAATTTAAATTTCGAGAATACTCTGTCATTTTCTAGCATTTTTTCTCATCTATTTTCATAACATTATTAAGTCTACAGATGCGGAATTGTGTTAAATTGTAATAAAAAATTAACAAATTAGAATCATGTTTTATAGATTTTTTTACAATAAGCCATTATCTAAGCTTTAAGTCTTAAATCGTAAGAAATTGATTAATTATAGATATCGATTCGACTTCTCACATTTGACTGTGATTGATTAATTTCTTACGACTTAAAACTTAAAACTTAGATAATGCCTTATTGTGGAAGGCCCATTAAATATCTCGCACACCATCTCTTTTTTTTTTAATTACGTAGAAATAATTCATTCAAATGGTTAAGCGATCGATTAAGGAGTTAATGTGACTCCCTCACGAGCAGGTCACCTCGGTAGCATAAAGTCTCTGCTGAAGTCTCCGCGACAATATACAGCTAACGCTCCTTTGCACGCTAAAACTCCTTTGAAAATGGAGATGCGCATTAACGTGAGGCATGATATACGTGAACATTTTTATTCTATGTTCACGATCGATGAAACGCTCGGATGTCTCGGCCAGACACGAATCAGGACGCGTAAACAACGAGAGAACAGAATTCACGTCGTCCCGAGCATGGAGATATATCGACGGGAATGGGATTGAGCTCGCGGCTGTTATTGATCGTGACATTCCGTAGAACCGGACTGCCACTGAATCGATATCGAGTATTTCAGATAATTTCTCTACATTATTACTGTGTTAGAACGACTCATTCAAAATTTCACATTTTCAAATTGAGAAATTTGTCCAAAAAATATCCTGCCCAGAAATAATTATTCGAATCAACATTGATCGATGATCTTATTGATTTGATCAATTATTTCTAGTTGTTTCCAGCTAAAATAGATTTATTGATTGTAAATTTTTTTACTGCTAAAGTATTTAAAAATAACTCTGCAATATGTTATTATATCCTTTAAAAATAAAAATTGAATAAAAAAATGTTTAATTATCTTTTAATAATTCTTATTATCTTTACCTACTCGCTGATAATACATTAATGATAATATATTGCATTAAATTATAGAATAGTACATATATACATATATACATATAAATAATACCTAATAAATAGACCACACGATTTGTAATTACTTATTATTAATTTTCTAGATATATAGCAAACTTTACTATAATTCACTACAATAATTTCATTATAATCATGGTGTAATTAGATATCTATTATAATCATAATATATGCAAAAAATATCATAGTTACATCACAATAGACTTATAATAGTCATAGATAGATAATAACGTCATTGTAAGATTATCAAAAAGTCGCAATGATATAACATTTTATTATCTTAATCTATGTGATAGCAATAGTGAAGTGCAATTTTTATCAATTTCATAATATCATAGTGACATCAAACTTATGACAAGCGGACATTCACTTTATTATAATATTATTGAAACTCTTTTTACTTTTGAAGATAGCAAAATGTCACATTGATCTGCACTGTTTATTCCAAATTCAAGTCAATCAACGCAGCATTGCAGGAATTCTAGTTCTCAAATTCTAAACGGATTCGAAACTCACCTGTTACGGGACTCTCGCATGAGCATGGTGAATCGCTCCTCCAGTCGAATTCTCTCCTCCTCACTGGAAAATTTTGTGATGTTATCAACAACCGTATTCCCGCATTCGTAAGATTTATCCTGGAAGATGTGGTATACTTGCCTCTTCCGCAGCTTCTCCTGAAGCTCAAACATTCTCTTGTAATAATCGTGACCATCGTAAAGCGGTGCCATGCTGCGCGCCATTCAGAGACCAAAAAGTTGAAGGACGATCGTCGCACATCGAGGCAATCGACATACAATCGATTCAAATAATACTCCACGCGACGGAAGTTCAAGTTTATGTACTGTGCGATTCGAAAGACGAGAGTATCTTGCGGCGTCGATAATCGTGATTTGAGGAATTTTTTAGCATCTCTGAAACAGATGTGAAAACAATAATGCAAATTCTCGAAACGAACGCATTTTTACTCTCATCGACTTTCCACAGTTTTCTAGTTTAACTTTCTGAATTTAAAATTATATTAATTTCTCCAAAAGAAATACGAATTTTGTAAAATAAAAAAAGAGTGAAAGGAATACCAGATTAAAATTTTGATGCAAATGAAGAAATAAAAATTTTTTAAAAAGAGAGATTTCATAAACAAATATTAAAAATGTATGAGTAAAATTCATTAAATATAAAGTGACAGTAATATTACTTCAATATATAATAATTATACTGATAATTTTTTTTATTTAACAATGTAATTTATTACGTATAACATTATTGTATTTCTATTGTTAAGTGAGAAATTATAATATTGATGTAATATTACTACTATTTCGTTTTGTTTAGCGGGAGAACATAGAATATTTAAATCATAAAAGCGAACGTTACTTAAAAAGAATTAAACGTTTTTAAAGGAAAAGTATAAGATAGGAATCAGTCAAAAAGGAATAGAATTAAAAATTCAACATGATGATTAAATGTAAGGCATACTTTTAAATTCAAAAATGATGAAATGAAGATTAAGTTATTAGGGCGAGAATTCGAGTGTCGTTTCACGACACTCGAATCGCCCAGAATTGTTCACAGCATCGACGATGTACATGCAACAACAATAGAATGAACACTTGGTATGCGCGGTATTTGAATTCGATATTCTCAAGGTCTTCAGGGCGAAGAAACGATCCTTCGTCATGCCGACGCGGCAAGCAACTGTCGCGGTCGAATCGTCGAGTCGAGATCGTGGCAAGTCGGGGCTGTTTCAGCGGGTAAACACGCAGGTGTTACGTTCCCTACTCCCTTTATGCCGAGCGAATTCGTAGCAGCGACTAAGCAGCAGCTATTTAACTTGAATTTCACAATGTTACGAAACGCGTGGATCCGCGTTCTCGCCATGTGTGTAACTGGTACCCACATGATTTATCATTTCAAAATTGTATCAATCGCAATTTTTTGTATTGTTAAAATCAAACTTAAATCTTCATATATATAATTAAAGAAATAAAATGATTATAAATTTGATAATTACGAAAAAAGAAATAAGATGTTTAATTATTAATATATATTTTTAATTATTCATATACCTTTTTTCAAAATAAAGTTTCTAGCTTTTACAATTTTTAATATCTAGTTTTAAAAAATGAATACTTTTAATTTACATTTATTTTAATTTGATAAATTTTTTGCAGAACAAATTTTTCCGGATTATTCCGAGTTTAATTCTTCCACTGTTCTTAACGCTGTTCTCCAACACGATCCTAAAGTTAGAAATTTATCGATGAATATTATCATGTATAATAAATAATATAAAAACTTTCTAAATACTATAAAAAGAATACTAGAACATTAAACACTAAAATTTTCATTTTTCGATTCCTTATCTCAAATTCTATTTTACGAAGAATGACGCAATTGAAATAGTAGGTTAAGTTAAAATTTGTGATACTCAACATAACTCCAACGTTAATCGCAACGCTGAAGTATTACAATCGAAAAAAGTCACATTGCAGTAGTTAACGATGAAATATAACTAAATTCCATCGATCGGGCGTGAAAGGATATGCTTAAAGATGCAATCTGTGGCGCAGTACTCTATGCGGTCACGTCGCGTGCCAGTTGCAAATTTTCTCCTATCGTGTGCCCCGACTTCCTACCTTCCAGTTAGTTGATTCACCTTGATAAAAGCGAAATAAGAGAGGATGTATAATTGTGTACAACACTATGCTGCATAAATTATGAATTGTTGTTTATTAACTATATCAAGGAATACATTTATGTTTTCCAAGAATATATATATTGTTTTTATATAAATAACAAAACGAATAAAGAATGACAATTCATAGAAACTTAAAGATTTTTTCGTGCTTTCATGTCTTCTAGCACACACATATCTTTCATCACTTTTTATCTTTATGTCACCTTTCTATACTTTGCACGCAAATGTTCCGTCAACTCAGGTGTTTTCGCTGTCGCCATGTAGAAAATAAGCTCCAAGTTGTCGCCATTGCGTTTATACACTCGACGAGTCTGTCAAGGAAACAAAAGAATGTTAATTAAATTCAACATTTTTCACTTACATAATTATTAATGTTCAATATTTGCGAGAACAAATATTTAAAAAATATATTACGCAAAATGTAATAAGTGTAACATACAAAAGAAAAATGTCTTGTAATTGGAGAGACAATTCGATTAATAAATCAATATTTAAAAATAATTAAAAAATATAGAATAATATTAAATAAAAATAATAAGTAAAAATAGAATAAAAATAGAATAAAAATAAAAAATTTATCGTAATCAATATAAGATATTATGATACATTAGATAGTACATCATATTCTTAAATCATGATAGTACAAATAACAAGAGCTCTTCTGAAGCCGATCGTGCTGTGATCGACATACTAGTTTCTTCATCTTTGATTTAAAAAAAAAAGCAGAAGAAACCATGCCAATCATGATGTGGACAATTTCAGTAGAGAATTAAAGACAAGTCTTTATAAAGCTTTTTGTGTTTAGAAAAATTAACTTTAGAGAGATTAGACAATTTTTTTTTCTCTTTGTTAAATTTTTACTTTATACAGAATCTTTATTCATTCGCGATCATATTTACAGTTACAAGACATCCAATATATATCCGAAAACTTAATTGTACCTTTGTTAAAGGCGAGAAAGTTGGTACCGTTGCATCTGTTAGCAGTATATTGTTGCTGTTTAAGTCGAGGGTATTGTTATCATTGCTCATTAGATCACCCTGTTCGACCGTAAACGCTCCTATGTTACCAATTAGACTAAGTACGACCTTATTAGTTCCTGGTAAGATCTGTAGGAAGCCGTTCTCTCGATGCATCGGTATTCCTGAATCCGGATGCCAGCTCTGCGCGATGTAATTGAACATCGGCTGACCTATGGACGTAATGTTTATCTGATCGTAGTAATTGAAAGGCTTGATGGTCGGGTACATGCCCATTGCAGGCTCATCCGTTATCCACGTGCCCTCTAACCAGGCCAGTACGTGCAACAACTCATGCAGCTGCAAGACCTTCATCTCCATCTTTGCAGCAGTTGTAGTTAACAATCTAGTAGTCTAATAAGGCTTTTAATTGACTTTTCGTATCTATACGTCTTCAACAGTAAGATGTACACTTTATACTGAGATAGCAACGTGAGATTTCCAATATTTTATAGCAGGAAACGCACTCTTGCATAACGTATAACATGTATACGAAAATGTACCAATCAAAATCCTTCGTTTCCTTTCTATGAAATAAAGAATTCTGATTGGTTGAATTTCTTATATCTTAATGTAGCGTAATGCAAGAGTCTATGCTCCCCGCTTATACCTTCGCATCATCCTGTAATCTCATTTATTATATGAAACGCAAGCATATAACATCACAAACATTTACTTAATACTTATCTCACAAATGGAAATCGCAATTGTCAATCGGAAAAATATACGCTCCATGTATTATTACAGATTCTTTTCAGCATCTATAGTTTTATCTTTCCTCTTTCTCTCTCTTACATTTAATTATACACACACACACACACACACACACACACACACACACACACACACACACACATATATATATATATATATATATAGATATCCGAAGTGCATAATATCAGTCATGGAGAACAGATCTTGAGCTGTTATATAACAAAAAAATGAACATCTTTTTATGATAAGTTCGTGAAATCTGCGATGGAATATTACTAATAATAAATTTGTCATACATGGATTTTCAAATGATTGTAGTAGATGATTAGATAACGAATAATTGATTTAGCATGCGCGTTTTTATCGCTCTAAAATTTTGTTTACGCTTAAAAAACTGTAGTTGATTGTCAAAAATGTATAATAAAATTAAAACTTTATTTGCTCTTCTGGCAGGGTGATTTAACTTAAGTAAACTAGAATTATTTCAAATTAAAAAATAGTATAAACATTAAGAATCAAAAGTAGAACAAAAAAGATTACATGATAGTATAAAGTAAGTAGTATATTTAAATTCAAAAATAGAAGAAGAGTGTACATTTGAAAATCCTAAGAACGATAAAAACACATATTTAGTATTAGCCAAAAAACGTTTTACATAATAATACTTAACAATTTTCAAATATTTTATCACAGATACATAATAATTAGAGATGCACCGGATATCCGATATCCGATAATTTTACGATCCAGTACATCCCTAATAATAATAATTTAGTGATTAGTTTACTATTATGTATTTCATGTGCAATAGCTAATAGCTTCCGGTCTTCTCGTTCTTTCTCATAAAATATAAGTGCTAAAAAGAGTACCCTGGATATACTGAAAATCCAGCAGATTAAAAAAAAAAAGTCATCCCGGAAAAACCGTCTGGTCACCCTATCTTACATCCTTTTATTTCTCTTCGCTCACTTTCATATATTTTGCTTGTAAATGTTCAGTCAACACTGGGGTATTCGACGTTGCCATGTAAAACACATATTCTAAACAATTATCGTGAAGTTTAAATTCTCTGCGTACCTGCCATAAAATTAGAAACATATTTTAATTGTAAAATTATGCTATCACTTACATAAATATCAATTGCAATGCTAAGTTAATAAAATTTATGATAAATTTGATCATTCATATTACAATGGATTAATGCACATTAAAGGCTGTTTTATACAAAGTATCTAAATGTAGTAGTGATATAACATATTTAATTTTGACAACAATATATATTTGTTCAATAATGTGACGATATTTTAAATATTAAATCAAATAATATTTATATTCTTTTACATTTAACTTTGCTAATTTTATACAATAGCTTTTAGCATGCATTAATAATTTAGTATAATGAAAGTGACCAAATTTACTGTTAAATATACCTGTGTTACATGGGGTACCTTTGCTTCTTTTATCCTAGTTATATCAGTACTATTTAAGTTGATGGTTTTGTCAGTTATTTCGCCACATTCAATGGTAGTTAAACCAAAATTATGTGCTGAGATAAGAGTTACTTGATTAGTTCCAGGGTTCACTTTCAGAAAACCTGTTTCCCGATGCATTGGCTTCTTTAAATCCGAGTTGGAAAAGCTTTGCGCAGTATAATTGAACATAGGTTGTCCTAAGGACATGAAGCTTATCTCATCATAATAGTTAAAATCCTTAATTGTCGGGTATTTGCCGCTGCCTTGATTCTCAGTTCGCCACGTTCCTTCTAACCAAGCCAATGATTCTAGTGCTTTATGCAATGGTACACGTATCATGTTTCTACTATATTATTTTATATATTCTAGATATATTGGACAAGTGTATAAAAACTAATCCTTAAGTGTATCCTTTGCGATTCTGATTTTTAACTTGAGAATTTCAGAATCTTCACAAAATATAACCTATAAATCATACAATCACAATTAATATGAAAGATAAGATTTATCATAAATTTATAATAGATTTATCTTTTTATAAAAAGTTTCTGTTGTGATCACGATTTTCTTCTTCTATTAAGTAAATACAAAAATTGTTGTTTACAGAAAATGGTTAGTTAGAAATTTACGTTTAAAATTTTAACATTCACACTTGACCGTTCTATTGTAATTTATACCTGGTAAAATAGAAGCTGTTACATATGACAGAACGATAAAAGATCCATGAACAATGTTATGGATTTTGTACAAGTGTGTATTCTTGATTCTTCTCGGCACAAAAGTTATATAATAGATGAATATCGTTTCACGCATGATGTGTCTAATGCGTCATTTATCCTTGTTTAAGGACGTTCTTCGACTGCAGTTGTGCTCAACCTAATGTGCTCATTATCATGAAAATAATTTATTTCACTTTTATATAATATAAAATATTTCATAAAAAATATTAATGTTTTTATACAAGTTTTTATACAAGTTTTTTATAGTTAGTGTTCTAATAAATACAAATCATATGAAATAAAATTAATCATATGAAATAAAAAAAATCTTTAAAATTCTTTAAATTTCAAATTATCAATAGTGGAGCTTTTTTGTATTACTCAATGATTATTTTTTAAAAACGAATACCGGAAGTTATATTCAGACAAATTTCATGTTATTCCTTGTGATATTAAAGTTTTATGTCTCATTGTTTCAAAAAATTGTTAAGAACAACTTTTTTACAGTAAATAAGAAGATCTTATGTTAAACATTTCAACTTTAAATGAAGTGGAATAAATCTTGATTTTTAATTCCGCTCCGGGTATTGAGTTTTAACCCTAATAATACAGATCTCCAAGGGACGTTCCAAAGAACATTCAAAGGATCCTCTATGTCCTAAGAATGTTCGCCAGAACATCCCTCGAATAAAGTTTGCTACTAGAGAAAGCACACTTGTTCAAGATACTAAAACAAGCTTTTTCTGTAAGTTTCAGAAAAATCTAAAGAAAATGAATTTTTTTCGGAGAACGAAAAAATGTTTTTTCCTCAACATTCGGTGAATAACAAGAATAAATGATGTCATGCGCATTATGCATGAAACGGAACGTAGCCAATTATATTAATTGTCGATTGCATATATTTATAGTCAAATATGTCAGTTCCCATATAGCACACTTTATCTCAAAATCTTTCTAAGTGCGTTTTCAGGACGTTAAGATGTTCTCAAGACAGTCCTTCAGAACATTCCTTGGAGATCTGTGCTATCATGAGTTATAAATCTTAAATGCGTATTTTTTTATTTAATATTATAGCTGATACTTTAAAGCCAATGATTTTGAGTACAGATTTCTCCATAGTTTGCTCTGTAAAATATATTTAGTCTTATTCAAAATTAATCTTTAAATTTTAGCACAGAAAATGGCAAAGTTAGAAATCTCTTACGTTTTGAAGAGTATGCACAAGAATTTATATCAAATGCTACTTAATATCATAACATCGCACAAGAATATATCAAATGCTACTTAATACTATTACATACTATTACATTGTACTACATTAAACTAATTTACAGACTTATATTGTGTATTGTATATACTACAAGATTTTTTTATTTTTTATCGGCGGGAATTGCGAATCATGGGATACATGCAAGTACCTACACAAATTCTTGCACATATTTAATTGCTGCAGCCAATCCAGAGCTTGGCCTTTTAGTTCGCCATTTTTTGGCGGATTTTGTTTCAATACGCAGAATACGCCTGGGTGTCAATCATGAAACTTTATCCCTAGGAAAGTGAAAAATGTAAATTTTAATCATTGAAGTTAATGAAGAAATTTTTCACTTTTCACTTTTCATCCTAGGAAAAAAGTTTCATGATTGATATCCTGGTATCATGCCTGGTATGACAATAAAACTCCAATTTCGCGCATAATAAATATAATCAATATCATTTGTAATTTTATAATTTTTTTTATTTCTAATATTTTTATATTTTATGTGATATAATGTTATGTTTTACAAAAAAAAAACTTCATAAAGAAATTCATGAAAAATGTTCTATTGTCTTATTTTATTATTTTTTATTATCTATATTTTGTTAATAATTTTAATTTTAATTTTCTACATCTGTTTTACAACCTATAATTAGATGTGATAATCTCAACAGTTTTTTATTTTTTAAATATATATTTTTTTAATTAAAGTTTTTTTAATTTAAAAAAATTGTATTTATGTATGTTATACATATTTATACATATTCATAAAAAATTTTTTACCGAGAGATATCGCACATGCGCATTACTATTATTTTTATCGTGTACACGGATCATGTCACTAACCTATAATGTGCACATTATCAATTTTGAATCATATTTATGCATTGTTAAAGTTATTTAATTGTCGAATCCGATCGACGAAATTCTTTTTTTATACAATGTCAAAATGTATTTTCTTCTGACAAGAGTTCTTAATCAAGTTGTCAAAATCTTCATCCTCAGATGACTGCACATCAGATGACTTCTCGTTAATTGCCTCGCACTTTTTTTGGATTACCAAAAAGAAACGTTATGATTAACGCGAGCGTAAGTCAGCTTGTAAATCAAGTGGACAAGAGCAATTTTACACTATACACAGAATGGGAGGATACATCTTTCAAAATAATAGTGTTGAGGCCAAGTACACTACCATTAAGTGGCAAGGTAATTTAATTAACTGTTTATTTATTGTATATTTATGGATACAGTCAAAGTTTCATTACAAATGCTTTGAACCATTTGATTGATTAATAAAAAAAAATTTTATTAATTGACCAATCAAAGAATACAAAGTGTTTATAGCAACTAAATTTCAAAGCATTTGCAACATTCTGTTGATCATAACCAGAGCTTTTTCCAGCAAAAAAACAATGTTACATATTGAATTAATTTATCCTTGTTTAAAGTTGGCATATACAACAAGGATATAATAATTCATTATGTTATACTGTGTCCTTGTTAGGAAACATAGCCAAAGTATAAGACAAAATTTAAAAAATTTGAACAATTTTATCAGATTTATCAAGAAAATATAATTTCATTGCCAGCAGTCGATGACTATCATCTATTGAAAATTATTTTATTATTTTAGATGCATATAGAGAATGCCAATTACTTCTTAAATCACTTGGACGAATCCTTTGAAACATATCTGGAGAAAACAAAACAAGCATTCTCTGGAAAAAACGCTGATATAAAATTCTTTCTGCAGGATGAATCATATGGAACAACATTCACATGGAAACAACAAAATGTTCTCACTCGTGGAGAAATTACAATGCATTCTCTTTCGAATATATTGATTCTGTCTGACACTTTAAAACAATCATTAGAACTCTATCAACAATATCAAGAGCGAGCACTGGCACTGGAAAAAGAGAATGAATACTTTAAGAAAAGCAATACAGAACTGATCGTGAATTTAGAAGAAATAATAAACAAAAAGAACACTATGGAAAAAGATCTTAACATGAAATTTCTTTTACTTCTGAATACAAAGAAGAAAAAAATTAGAGAGCTTCAGGAAGCTTTAAATAATACAAAAAAGACAATAACGAGGTCAGCATATAATGAAACCACTGATGATGAAAGTGATGAATCAGATATAAAGAGTAAGAAAATGTATGATACTAAATCATCTAAACTAAAGAAACAAAAGATGGATTATAAAAATGATCAGGAAGTTATACCAAAGAGTAAGACAAATTTTAAGAGACACATGAATTTCTCTTCTAGTGAAGATACAAGTCCTGAGCCTTCAACAAGTAAAGTCAAGTTAATGTTACAAAATACAAACGTGTATGATACAGTGAAATCCAAGCGAGTTCTTAACAACTCAGAAGAAGAATATAACACTTCTGAGGAGGATATGTTTTCCTAATAACAAAAATAATATATTGCATTCTTTTTCTTATATTTAAAAAATATTTATAAAATTATGCAATTTTTTAAAATGCATTTAACATTATTTATTCAATTGTTTAAAAAAAAATTTCGATATGAAATAGTGCACGTATCCGATATGTGCATATATCCGATTTGTATTATATGTCTAATGAAATGTTCTAGTCTAAATTCCAACGTTTAATAAAAACGTTTAATAAAAATTATTTTACATTAGAAAAAATCTATTATGTGTATACGAAAAGTTGATAATTGATAATTTTTTAATGTGCAAGAGCAATTATTGTTATTAGACTTATAGTTTAATTGTAACTAATATATTTTGATGACAGTATTTTGTAAAACATTATGAAATATAAAATGAATATGTTTAATAAAAGTATTTTTTATTAGAAAAATTATGCAGAACTGTTATTTAATTCATATTTTATAGAATTCTATATTTAATATAATTAAAATAAGTGAGATAATGAATTGCTTTGCATTTAAATTATTCTGACTATTATAAAAGATTGCATTCAAGGATCGGGAAAAAATCGAAGATTTAAAAAAATCGCACGCTTTCTTAGAGTGATTAAGAAAAGTAACAACGATTCGATCATTAAAGATTGCCTATATGTTAATGTTATCCACAATATTTTACATAAAATATATATTACAATATTATCATTAATAAATAACGAATAGTGGTAATAATATTTATCATTTCGTTCTAATAATCAATATGCAAATGCCGAAATTTACATAATTAAGTACATCACGTTTCATAGTAGAAATTCAAAATGTGCAATAAAAGCATCAAGCGAATTTGATAAATATATCACTCGACGATTTCATTACAGATATCAATCTCGTCAATCTACGATAATTGACTTACAATTAGTATATAGTTTTTATTTTGGGTAGTTAAAGTATGTGTTCTCTTTTTATATGACTGAGAATATTTACGATTGCTTGAAATTGTAACATCAACGTCGTACAAAGTACGCACGCAGTTTCTTGAATGTGTAATGTCCATTGTCACCAATGAAGATTAATCTCAGTTTAACTTACTTTTCATTTTTTTCTAGTCTTAAGAAGTAGAAAAAGATGAAGAGTCAATTAAACTGAAATTAAAGTTAGTCTATTGATAGAAATGAATCCAAGATGAATATTCAGATTGGTTCATTTAAAAATAGTTCCAGAATATTAGTAGATAAATTTTTGAAATATTAGGTGTAGTAAAAGAAATCCATTATTTTTCCATTCAATTTCATGCAAAAATAATGGATTTCTTTTTACTACACCTAATACGATACAAAAGAGTATAATACTCTGGCGCTGTTTAATTGCCTGCAATTATCGTCGAAAATAAATATCGAACATATCGAACAAATCTCTCTTAATATAATACAGAAAACTTATCATTAAGAACTGTAGACTAGAATATGGCCGAATGTGTGTGTGAGTTCTTATATCTATGTAAGTAACGACGTAAAACTATCGTTTTTAATAAAGATTACACAACTGTTGAGTTAACGAAACAAACTTACATGTCATCATTTCTTAAATGATCAGTACAACATTAAATCCTAATTGCGTAACAAGTGAAGACTTTGAAGGATTCAGTAACAATACCAATAGCGCTATAAAATCACAAAACAATGATTCGGAATGTCGAAGTGCATTATTCGGTGCCGCAAGCAAATAGATTAATATAGGACAGTGTCTTTAATACGTGCCGTCTCATTATCCTTTCCTGACATGGAAGAGCCAAGATTGGATTAAAGGTTGGTCTGAACACAGGTTTGAAAGGTAGCAGAAGTACGTTTTGATTGTATGGGTCATTTAGAAACATCCAGCTAGCAATAGGTTCTCTGGGAAGTTTCCTCTCGCGTTTGCCCTTTCAAACTTGCATTCAGACCGATGTTACTCAGCCGGGCATCTTCCGATTTATCATAGCGCCCAGATCCGGCACGATCTGTCTCTGCTCGCGATTGAATAATAAAGTTCTCGCATTCAAAAAGGATAGATCCGGTAACTGATTCAAAACTTTTATAGTCTCGGCTTGCACGGTCATCGATCTCCCGTATCGATCCACGACTACGTGCTCCGTACCTTGCGTATTCTCTTTCTTACCTACTGATATCTTTCTGTGATATTCATGTACCCTGGAGGTATTATTGCTTATTGGAAATGACTTATTGTTGGTTAGAGGGACATTTCTCAGTGCTCGATGCGAAGAGTTGCTTTTCTGCTTAATTCCGATGTCTTGTTCGGTTTTTTTCTTCCATTCCATTGTACAGGGTCCTGGTAATGGTTCTATTATCTTGGATATCTGGGACGATTTTTGCTGTTTTAATGAACTGCAAATGAGATCGGATAAATTTTGTGATTTCATGGATTGGCTTGGTTCTTGTACAACTGCTTCTGATGAATCTATGTCAGTAATAAAAATTAACAATTAAAATTAGTTAAATTATGAATACAATAATTTTGAAAATATTCTATGAATGTTTAAAATCAAGCAAAACAAAATTAAGTGGCAGTCTATTTAATTTTTAATATATACATTTAGAAAAGATATTCCTATTTAAAACAAAGTTTATAAATATACACTTATACATATACACGTATGCAAAAACAAAGACGTTACAGCTTGAACACTTACAGTAATAAACGGAGTTCGTTGAGTAAGATGACTGATGATAGGATTCGGAATGTGTGGAGCAATGGGGTGTTAGTAGAGGATCAAACGGACACAATAAATCCAGAGGCAGAAGAGCGGATAACCCACCACCTGTATTGTTATTTTTCGCGACATTTAGGAAAATTCAACACACTTGGATCGCTTTCGCTTTGGCACTCACATCTTAAAATATTGTTTTAGCCTTATTATTTATGAAATATTAAACAAGGATAATTATGCTTAGTAAGTGCCAAAACAAACGCCTTGATCTATATGATCTATATGTAAGAGACAACACCAAACTATTTTTACATATAGACTATTTATTCAGAAAATATTCTCTTTCTCTATCTCGTTATATAGAATATAAATTAGCAAAATATTAGACATTTAGCTATGTTTCTCTCCTAAATACAATAATTTAATCTAAACATGCAATTACAATAAATACTTACTAGCATCTAGAGGATTTACAAGGCCAGAACTATTCCAATCAAATTGGGCGGCAGGTACTTCCTAATACGATGTTACAATTATTAATTAATACGTAAATTATTTACATATAGAAATTAAACCTCAACTTACATCTGAACAAGCTGCACCCTGTATCTTGCTGTTATTGGCTGCAGAAGGTTGCTGAGGCTCAGCAGTAGCTTTAATTGGCTCTAACGGAGTAAAACCAAGATTTGCAGCAAATCTTGGTATATTCGGATTCCATCTTGGTCCAAACAGCTTTAATTTCACATAACAAATATCATTATTTTTTTCTCATAAATGTATAAAAATATTTTAATTATTAAGTTGTTGTGTATACTTACAATATTCCGAGAATCGATGCCAAGAGAATTCAAAAGAACATTATTACTACTACTATTCGCCCATTGGTAAGTGAGAGCATTGGTTTCTTCCACGCTCTTTACATTCTGCCAAACTTTATCTGTTTTATCTATTAAGGCTTTTAACTCAACTTCATGATATTCAGAAAGCACAGAAAACATGTTTGTTATTATATCTTCTATTTTATTCGCAGCCTGAAATTATTTTAATTAAATTAATGTTAAAATATGTAAAATTATATATTATTTATATTATAATGTAAGACTAAAAATCTAAATTAAAGCGATACCCTTGTTTTTTTATTCTAATAAACTACTAGCAATCATGTATTACACAAACATTCCTAAACTCACACTCTTGTTTTCTATCCGACATATAGATTCTTTTAAACTAAACTGTTGTGTTTCTATTACATCCGTTGATGTTTCAAAATTACTAAAGTCTCCGAAATCATCATCGTCCTCAGGTACCTTCAATTCTTTAGCATCGTCAGATTTCCATTCTATCGTTGTGCTCGAAAAATTAGTAAAATCACCAAAATCATCTTCGTTATCCACATTTTTGAATCCAGGACAATTATCTTCTCTAGTTGCTGCTGGCTCTGTTGTTCGTAAAGGAAAATCATAAAATTCACCATTGCTAAAATATACTACAGAATTTTCGCTTTTAAATGTGGCACATTCTTCGCCCGTATTATTCGTAATATTAATTTTATCTTTTAAGCAGTCGAGAGATGTATTAGTAGATGGCAGTGAAGCTTCTTTAATTGGTGAAAACTTTTGTATACAAGATGCTTCGAATGAAGATGTATGTAAACCGTGAATTTGTACTGTTTCGTATGTACTATTACTGGATACTGAATTGTAGTTATTTGTCAACTCTGATACATCGTTAAAATCTCTATGCTCCATAAATTCTGTAAAATCGGAATTATTTGGATCGTGTGCAACAAAATTTTCCGGAATGTAATCTTTGTGTATCTCTTTATTACTCGACTCTTTTTTCTTAGCAGAAATTTCCTCACTTATCCCATTCACAGTTATTTTTTGAACAGTTTGATTTTTCGTTTCTACGGCTACATATTCGCTTTCTTTTGATTGTATAGTATTTTTTACATCAGCTATATCGCAGAAATTATTAGGAAAAGTATTCGCGTCGCTTTTTTTACTAGAGTTTCGAAGGTGAATGTCTTCAGTATGTGCATGTACGGATGTATGATCTAAATTTGATTCCTCTCTCACAGCATCGTCGTCGAAAGTGAAATCGAAATTGAAAGAATCATCTACAGTTTTCGACTTCTCATTACTCGTCTCAGATATTACATCGTACATCTCTATGTATTTCGGCTGAATACTGAATTCACAGTCCGATTGTCTAAAAATGTCAGTACCGTCTACATTATGTTCTTGAGAGATAACAAAATTGGAAATTGTCCTTTCATCATTGATAAAGACAGATTTATCATCTTCATC